ACATCTTTAAATTCATTTCACGTTTTGGATTTGTAGGCCCACATTCAATAAAAACAGACTAGACCTTCTTTTCTTATTGACATGCTACTTGTAGCACCAGTATAATTCATATAGTACCTGGTGGAACTTGGTTATCTCAGATGCTAATAAAATCATTTCTAAGACTTTTATGCTAGTTTTATTTTGAGGAAGCTACTTCTTGGCTTGGTAATGTAATAAAAATGAATAATTTCCATTTTTAGGGCAATCATATGCAAATTTATTTTGAGCTATGTGCAAGAAGCAGTTTGGATATACTATTTCCATTGTCATGTGCTTTTTCAGTAGTCAAATAGCCAAGACCTGGTTGTTTCCTCGAACAAGGAACATCCAGATGCTTTCAGCAAGCCTTTACTGTGAACTCCTAATTCTTCTGTTTCACCCTGTGGGCCATCCTGTTTTTCCATGGATTGTGTGGAATCTTATTGTTTGGTGAACCAAAACATTTTTTAAAACAAACAAATTAGTGGCATATTTTCCTCTTAAAACTAATTTTAGTATTCCCTATTCCTAGTCTGTTGACATTCTTGAACATCTTTTAAATGTTCTTTTCTCTCACAATCCTTTCATTGGGGTTTCTGCTTTCTATTTCAAAGTAAACCACTGGTAAAGATTCATTATTATATTTTACTGTTATTAAAGAAGAAAACATGATAGTAGAATGTATTAATACAACATTAAAAGCAAGATATAGGTGGTATGGTAATTCCTTGATCGTATTCAACACTGGTTATTCCTTAGAACTTAGATGGAATTTAATTTTCAGTTCTGTGGTATTTAAAGGGTGACAAGAAAATCTGAAAGTTCAGAGTCAAGCCCACTCATTGATTATTGGGAAGAAATATGGGTTCAATTAGAACAGATTAAAAGCATTGGGGTTCCTCACTTGGGAAAGGAGACAGCGTGATTCAATATCTATTTTCAGATATACAAAAGATTATTTAAGGGCAGTGGTACAAAGCTGAACAAAAAGTAATTGTATTAAGTTACAGTAATCAAGAATTTGGTGGAAATTAAAAAATAACTTTAAATATAGAAAAATGCTAGAATTCACTATGAATCTTTAAAAATTATATAGACACTTTAACTTGGTTTTAATAGTTTGGTCACTGGCCTTTCTCGAAGATAAGGATTTGTTATGGCAAAGTCTCTTCCTGATTGTGTCTGTGCTATTTTAAGATACCTAAAAGAAGAGCCTACTAGCCAAAATATATGTATTATTTAGATTTTAGATTAAACTGTTGTACAAGGAGACCCCAAAATATGGTGACTTAAACAAGATAAATGTATTCCTGTGTCATCTAACATTGTAAAGGTAGGCAGACCAGAGACCACCATGAAGCTCTGAGTGCAAAATTATTACTGTCTCCCAGCCAGCTGGGGAGAGAGGGTGGGGAATGGATTGCGTGTGCCTCCTTTGTTTTTAAAGATACAACCCATAAGTTGCATATATCACTTCTGTTCCATCTTTTTGGCCATTAGGTAGTCTCTGTTTCATCCCACTCCAGGCTATAAAAAGGCTAAGAAATATAGTTTCCACCTGGGTAGTGATGTGATTGGCTAAAACTGAGAAAACTTATTATTAAAAAGGAGAGAATGAAAAATTAAAAACAGAAAGAGAGCTTGTACATGTAAAAATTTGTTAAGAGAGTAAACCTATGTTAATTTTTTTGAAAAAAAAAGAATATTGATAGACAATTAGAATTATCTGCCATAGCATAAAAAAGTTTTCACTATTTAGACATAAAAGTAATGTGACATGTTCAGACTATAATGAATTTACTGAATTGCATTTGCATGATACTTACATTTTATCAGATAGAAAACAAAAAGACCAATAGGCAAACCCTGCGATTCATTCAATCTTCTCTAAGAGATAAGCATTTTCTTATCAGGCCACAAGATTGTATAACATTGCATTAGGATGTCTAAAGCCAGCTTGGAGTAGGCAAATAATTATTCTGAGATCCTTTTTCTCTGTTAGAGAACCTAGCACACATTAGAGAACTTCCCTTGTCTGTAAAAACATCCTGAAAAGAAAATCTGTAAACCTTCGAAAAAGTAAACACCAGCCTGAACTTTGAGAAATAGTTCTTGTAATACAAATCAGCATTAGCAAGGGAGCTGCTATTGCTGCTCACTCGAGAATCAGTGTCTTGGCCATGAAAGGAAAGCTGCCCAATATGGTAGCTGCCATGATCATTACTTATCACCCAACTGTTGGTGATGGACTAGAGACTGCCACATATGCCTGAAAAGAAGGAAGGAAGGAAGGAAGGAAGGAAGGAAGGAAGGAAGGAAGGAAGGAAGGAAGGAAGGAAGGAAGGAAAAAGAGAAGAGTAACAAGCGAACATCACCACCACAAGCTTTCTAGAAGAGCTATATGGCCACCACTTCATGATACACATTTCTCCTTCAAGGTCCTGTGAAGGTGCATCAGCTTGGTGAGCACTACATTTAAAACTGAAATCCTAGCTGCAAGAGAGTCTGGGGAATATAGTTTAGCCTTTTAGCCTCAAATGCACAGGAAGTAATGTTAGAAGCAATTTGGATTCCTGTAGTGTTTGCCATATAGGGCCTCAGATAGATGTTAATCTAGTTCCTTGCCTTTACAACTGCAACTGAGTATATGCATTTCTGGGAAAGAGTAACAAGCCGAAAATATGTCATGTTTAGTTTAGAATGTGGGAAGGTGAACGTTATTATTCCCAGGAAATATGTCTCCCCAAGCCACAACTTTATTTAGCACTTGTCATAGAAATCTCATTGTTGTGAGAATGAAAATAGTTCAGCTTAAACGACTTCTAGAAATAGAAGCTTCAAATCTGATCCTGAGTACATTAAATAAGATTTTTAAAAATTGAAATATAATTGACATATGACATTATATTAGTTTCAGGTGTAGAACATAAAGATTCAATATTTGTATATATTGTGAAATGATCACCACAATAACTGTAGTTAACATCCATCACCACACGTAGTTACACTTTTTTTCTTGTGATAAGAGCTTTTGTTAATATTTACTCTCTTAGCAACTTTCAAATGTACAATGCAGTATTATTAACTATAGTTACCTTGCTGTACATCGTATCCCCAGGACTGACTTATTTTATAACTTGGAAGTTTGTACTTTTTGATCCTCTTCACCCATTTTTCCTTTCCCCCATACCCCGCCTCTGGCAACCATCAATTTGTTCTCTGTATCTATGAGTTCATTGTTTCCTTTTGATTTCACATATAAATGAGGTCATATGGTATTTGTCTTTCTCTGACTTGTTTCACTTAGCATAGTACCCTCAAGTTTCATGCATGTTGTTGCAAATGGCAAGTTTTCCTCTTTTTTAAGGCTGAATAATATTCAGTTATACATACATATATGTGTGATATTTATAGTGAAATTATGTATATAATTTTATGTATCTATTATATATATATTAATATATATATACATATATATATATATATATATATATATATCTCAAATTTTCTTTGTCCATTCGTCACCAGTGGACTCTTAGGTTGCTTCTGTGTCTTGGCTATTGTAAATAATGCTGCAATGAAGATGGGGGTGCATACATCCTTTTGAGTTAGTGTTAAATAAGATTATTTTTCACAATGTCTCAGGGTTGGTATATTTTGATGTGCAAGAAAGAAAAAATGCTATAATAATCTTTTAGAACTTAGAAATGACTAATGGTGAATTTAGTTTTTAGAAAGCTGTTTGCTGTAATGTCATGCTCATAATAGAAAATGGTGGTAGTAGAGAAATAATACTTTATAGCAAACTATAAGAAAATGTGCCAAAATTATAAGTGCTGGAATTATAATTTATTTCTTCTTCACAATAATTTGAATTACAACTAACATTGAGCTCTTGTTAAAAATCGGATCCAGTTCCAAGTGCTTTAGGTGTATTATTTAATTTAATCCACAACCAACCTGATGAGGTCAAAATTCTTGTCCTTACTTTACAGATGAAATGAGTACAAAGAGGTTCTTATGTTTCAAATTATCTGTAATTTACATGTATTTTTAAAAACAAATAAAATGACAGAAACCTTTTTTAAGCAAGAAAATTGTACTATCTTTAGGATTAAGAATTTGCAAACAATATGTCATATACTATTTGTAAAACTTTTTCCCCCCGGGCTATACTGTGTGTATTATTCAAAAGACTGCAGTTCCAATACCTGCCTCCGGCAAGTCGCTTAATATCTCAGAGCCTCTGTTTCCTCATGCAAAATGACTCTCATTATACTTGCCCTACTTTTCAAAATTGTTGAGAAGATCAAATTAAATATTTGAAAACCACCTAATAAGTCATAAAGTACCATCTAAAGTTAGGCAGGGATTTATTATATAATCAAAATCTTGAAAATTTGCAACTAGAATATTATAATTAGATGTTTCCTAGATAACACATTGCACATTCATAATCAAATCATTAAAAATTTAAACATATAAAGCTAATACTTATTTAGAAAATCAAACTATAATATAAATATGGCATCAAGTTTCATTCTTAGTTGATGGTACATAAATTGGCAGTGCTGCCACTGAAGTCAGCTCTACATTCTAAGACACTGTTATAGTAACACAAATAATGTTTAGTAAACAATATCTTTACTTAAATGGCATTTTATGTTACCATTTGTTAATGCCAGTTTCTCACAAAGGTCTGTAGAATTAAGATTTTTAATATTAAATAATAGTTAAGTAAGGGAAAAACTTAATTTTGTTCATTTTTATATCTCTATTGTCTAGAACATTGAGGCATAAATATTTGTTAAAATAATGAATGAAATTATACTCTGATAACTGGAAAAGAGACTTTAAGAACAGCTGTAACACATAAAATTGTTAAACATAAATGCTGGTAATATGGGTAATATTTTGAAATTTCTTTGACTCATGTATGTCTGGCCGATTTATCATTTCTTCTTATTTGCTTTACCTAGGGACGTGCTGCTTTAACCAAAGAGAAGGAGGACTTTGCCCATGAACATGAAGAAATGAAGAACCTACAAGACATTGTTCAAGAAATAAAACCAACAGCTCTCATAGGTAAACTTCTCCCTCCCATAAACCATACCCCGACCCCACTTTTGCCTGATTTGTTTCCTTGCTACTGGTTTTTGAAGCATAATTTAACCTTTCTGGAATTCTAAGCTTTGGAACTGATGAACAAAATTAAACATTCACTGAAGCAACAGTACCCCATAGACACCTAGATTTGTAAATTCATGCTGTCTTCTTAGTCTTACTGATCCCAGCTGAAGCGTGTGGCCCCCTCTGCTAACTCTGTCAACCTGTTGTTATCTGGCATATTTAGTATTTTTCCAGGCTTGATTGCTCCAGATAGACAGTGATTCTCAAGGAATTTTTTTTTTGTACCCAAGGAAACATTTGACGTCTGGAGACATTTTTGGTTGTCACAACTGAGAGTAGAGGGGGAGGTTAGGGCTACTGACATCTCATGAGTAGAGACTAGGGATGCTGCCCAACACCCTACAATGCACAGGACAGCCCCCACAACAAGGACTTATCCAACCCAAAATGTTAATAGTGCCAAGGCTGAGAAACACTGAATTAGAACCATGTTTCACATAAATTTATATTGCTCATAGCACTTAACACAGTAGCTTTACACATTCCATGTGCACAGAAAAAATGTTTATTATGGTCAAGTTTAGTGTGCTTGAAAATAACAAAGCCATGAATCTTTATCTCATTTTTTGTGTATATAATGTCAGCACTTAAATTTGTATCATACTCCATTTCTAGAAGCTCCTGTGAAACAGATGACAATATTGAGAATGATGATGACAGCCATAATAAAACATATATACTTACTCCATGACAGGAACTGTAGTAGCCTTTATTGTTGTCTTTTTACAAAATATGTTCTATGAGGAATCTTGCATTTTTTTCATCTCCATTACATAAATTGCTTTTTTCTTCTGTTAAAATTCTTTCAATGTGTCATACTTCAATTTTAATTTGAATTGGATATTTGTCTTAAATGTAAGTAGTCATTTGTAATACATAATTGCTTTATAGCCTTAGAAACTGAGACATACTCAGAATCTCTTATAGAGAGATAATATGTATTGGACACATTTTAATTTCCTGCTGTAGATGCCTGTAATCAAAATTCCTAGTGATTGGTCAACAACTCAATGTAGTATGAGTCAAAAGTTATATTTGTGACTCTGAGCAATAGCAGTTCAATTCCCAGCCAGAACAGAGCTGCAGTTAGCTGCCAACAGGTGGCAGGATGGCTCAGCTAAAAAAAAAAAAAAAAGTTATATCTGTGATTTTTAAGATACTTATAGATTTATAGCCCTAAAGATTGTTGGCATTAACAAACATCTTTTTTGTCACTTTAATAGAAATATTCTATATTTTATTCAGGGTCTGTTAGAAAATGACCTGATGTCTCATTGTTTTGGGGGCATGGGTTTCTTGGATTCATTAACCAATGATAGTTCTATTCACTGGTTTCTCATTTCTGCATTAGGAGTTGCTGCAATTGGTGGTGCATTCTCAGAACAGATTCTCAAAGATATGGCTGCCTTCAATGAACGGCCGATTATTTTTGCTTTGAGTAATCCAACCAGCAAAGCAGAATGTACTGCAGAGCAGTGCTATAAACTAACTGAGGTAAGACAAAATATAATGATATTTTAATAATCAAATTTTGATTTATTATAGACAAGCCCAGGATGCTTACCATTTAACTTTTTAAAAGTATACAATCAAGACTGAGAGAAAATTGAGCAGTCGGAAGGGATGAGAACTATTTTCTGTTCTAGAATGTTGTTGTAAAAATCCTCTTTTTCAGTAAAACAAAATAAACTCTATAATGTTTTATTAATAATTTTCCTTAAGTGATTTGGAGTTATCTAACATCTAAATATAAAAGTTACAAAGGAAAAAACTTGATTCTAGATGCTTATTAAAATAACTTTTAACTAGCTATTCCCAAACATTGAAGCATACAGTATAAAAACCACAATCTTATTTTTGCTTTGCTAAATCCTGGGTTTGGATTTTGACGCCATGGGTGGAGCATTTGGGCAGCCATTTTGACATCCAGCCAGGTTGGGATAGGAGTCCTCAAAGTTTCAATACTTTACTGTTTTCAAAAAAGTAACTTATTTAAACTATGTTTGTATAAATGTATATTTGACTGATACGTTGACAAGAACCTTTTTTCCCTTCAAAGACTTGAAAATGTCATTACAATAAAATAGGGGTTGAGTCTTATATATTTAACACTTATTTTGGAAATAAATCCAAAATGAACTAGAAAAGGTAAACATGACATAAAGTTATGTCACTGCAGAAATCAGAACTTGATGGCTGCACTTCTTTAATATTATATACTTAAATGCTCATTACTAGAATTAATGAAATTTTGGCAAGGAGCTACTCCATTGTTCATCTCTTGTATTTGGGATGGCATCAATGTCCTCAATAATTTAAATTTTTATCTTATCTCCAGATTGGGGAATTTTTCCCATCAGTAGTCCTTAAATCCTTAAAGGAGGAAAAAAAACCCTCTGAGCAATAATAAAATTTTAGAATGGTGCATTGCATGTAGTAGGCACATAATAAATACGTGTTGAAATAATGGCTTTGTTTTGCCATATCGCAGTAGTCCTCAAGAGTTTATGGACTCATTTGTAATAGACACAAACAAAATCAGCTAAATTTATATCTTTGTAATTTTAAGTTTGAATGTATCTGATATAAAGGGCCTAAACTCTTTGTTATGATCTTGCCTAATGTTGTGTGTTGTTATACATCAAATTGAAAGTCATTTTGAGACTGAAAATTTAAACACTAATTCAGCTGAAACATAACAGAACAAGAAAAGGTCTACCTGTTGCTGGATGTGAGTCTTCATTGCTGTAGGCACAGATGAAAAGTCAGTAGGAAAGGTTAAAAATACAAAAAAATATTGAACCACAAAAAAAACCGTAATTATACCAAAGATGGTATAGAGAGATTTCCTTCTCCATATTAACAATTCATATATATGAGAGTATTTAATGACATTCCTTCATGAAAAACGATGATTATAGAATGATGGGCAGGAGTGGGAGTGAAGGAGGGGAAGGAGATAAACAAGCATAAATATAACATTGCAGGTCTCTTTCTCAAAGTTAAATTTTCATATATATATATATATATATATATATATATATATATATATA